AAAGGGTCAAGCTAGTATATATGTCATGTTGTTAAACTCTTTTGAAAACGAAACCCTAATTGTATTTTGTATAGTATGAATATCTCGGATTGCATTGTATGTTAATTTGTTCAAAACTCCAATGTAAATATATGTATAAGTGTTTAACTTTGTCTATTAAATGTATTCCGTTGAGACTATGATTTTGGTTTGGTAAGCATGTTCTCACCTTAGTAGTTTCCGATTGTTCGTTTCTTTGAGTCCTATCGCGCGTACTAGATTGGGTTTGCGTGAATCGACTCCGTAGTCCTGGCGAGAGTTGGGCAGGCGGTCCGCCAAACCCTTTGGTTCGCCTTAGGGTGAGGTGGGGCTGTCACATCACATGTAAGGCACGTGATGAATTCTGGTAAAAAATTAGTCAGAAACCTAGGTAGAGACTAAATTTGACTAATGTGAATTTGTAAGGGACGTAAAAATATACTTTTAAAAGTGAGGGACGAAAAAAGTCATTTTACAAAATGTAAGGGACGCTTTGAATGATTTTCTCTAAAAAAATCATTTTCACTAATTTTCACTAATATTCTTTTAAAAGAATATTTGACATTTTTTGGGTAAAATTAGTGAAATAATTGGTAACTTTCATTGCAAAAATGGTAACTTGTTGCAATAAAATGTAATTTTCATCGGATATCAAAGCTTACTATTTTTATGGTTAAATTTGCCAATTTTATGGTCCTATTTATTACTTTACTTGCTTACCTTACTTTTCAAGTTCACGGAACTTGAAAACCTAAATGACTGGTAACAAAATGGTCGCTAAAAGTACTAGTCTAGACTGTGGGGTTTGCTTACAATCAGTTTTTTCAGTATTTTATTATTAAATATTTACAAGTGAAGTCACGATAAATCACCACAGCATTTTATAATTGCTTTAACCAACTCAAACTAATAAAAGAAGAATGCGAAGATCCTCTTGTATAGGTGATTGGTAGAGTTCCGTTGCAATTTTAGTACTTTGCTGGTTGCAAATCTCCATCTCAAATCTCAACTACAATTTCTATGTTGTATGTTGTAATTCACCACTCCCGTCCTGGAAAAATTCAATGAGTTTCAGAAGCCATCATCTTCATTGCAAAATGCAAAACATGCTGCCCAACTACGCTCTGCCATAAGTTGGAAAGGAATCAGGAAAAGAACAAGTCATTCTTTTTCTTATTTTGTGTCTGTTTTTGAAATTATAGACAGCCAAACAATTGTATTGAAAAAATAACTATTGCACACTTCATTTTAGCCAATAAGAAACAGCAAAATTCCTGTATCACCACCAAAAGAAAAAAAATTTTCCATCAAAAACTGCTGAGGCTGCCCACGCACCCTAAGCATGGTTAGGGAACAACGTATTGAAAGGAAAATCGAGCGAGGAAAAGAAAGGAACAAGTCCGTAGCCTTTCTTTGACACGTGTCCATCTTATAGTCGGTAGTCACGTACTGTAGTCTTAGTCAACAAGAAAATGGCGAAAAATTCATTAAATATAGTCTGCAAAAGACTGCTTTTTACCTGTTTTAATCATCTGGTAAGAATCTCCGCTTGAATTGTTATTTTTAGAAGTTTTCCTAAAAAAAATATTACCGTGATTTGATGCATTTGTAAAAAATACTATAAGAATACTGTAGAAAAACAGTAAAAAAAAGCTCAAACTTTTCCTGTTTTAGCAAGTCCCTCTTCTTACATGCGAGGGAAGCAAGAGATGATGTTTTGAAAAACACGTGACATTGCTAGAAGCTCATAAAAATCAAGTTCTTACTCACATTCAAATTCCTTGCAAGAAAGAATTATAGTTTAACCTAGTTTCAAAATCAACCTATCAAGAACTTAGATTCAAATTCTAAAGTTTGAGCATAAATTGGGATCAGTTTGCAAGAAATATATAGACTCCAAGATTACCAATATCAATAATTTGTTCTTCATTTTGTTAGAAAACATACTCATTCATCCCAAGTAGTTCATCTTGAGATCTGTTTGTATTGGTTATTTTTTCAAAAACAAGTTTTTCAAATACAATGTTACAGTAATACACAATAACTGACAAAATATCTCATCCACATAATATATCAAATATTTCAAAAAACTTTTATAGTAAAAATTTTCATATGCACTGTTACAGTAAAATTTTTTAAAAACACTCCAAAAAACAGCTAATCCAAACGGAGTTGCTTTTGACATATATTCAATAATTGAAATTTGATATTTTAAGCAGAATAAATCAACTAAAATGTTAGGAGTTCACGTCCCCTGTCGCAGGAAACTAATTTCCCTGCCCTCCCAAGTTTAATTAAAAGGGAATCACATTACACCATATCAATTTTGACTGATGCTGCCCAGTAGCACAATCACTGAAGAAGTTTAGCTAAAACTCAAGGCTTAAAGCTAATTTCAGTCAAAAAAAGGAAAAAGAAAAGGATAAAGAATGAGAAAACAAATTACACAAGTAAAAGGTAAATCAAGCACACATAAATGATTCGAAACAACAAATCATAAAATCTCGAAGAGAAAGCACAAATTTTGAAAAAAAAAAAGACAAAGAAAGCCTAATCACCAAAAATCTCACTTGTAGCTCAAAAATTACAATCAAGAAGAAGCACTTCAAATACGATGCTGTCGTGAACAAACAAACATCAATTGTCGTATTCACAGAAATTGGTTGATTAGAGACACCCCAATCACCAAATTCGGGGAAGAAAAAAGACACCATGAGAATAATGAGGAATTACCATTCTCTAAGCTGAGACGACTAAAGAGTAGTAGTAAATTTCATCGAGTGCATGATAAAGAAATACGAGTGTAGAGACCGTTGGCGCTCGACTTCTTTTCTTCACAATTCAGAGAGGAGTGAGTGGGTGACTCAGTCGTGATTGTGAAGGAATGAATTGCTTTGGAGAAAGAGTTTGCGATAGGTTAGAAATGATAATGGATTTCAAAGGACGCCAGTAGTGGACGGAAATGAAATTCCTTGATTAGGCCTATACTCAAAGACGTCCAAAATGTGGGTGAATTTTATATCCTTCCCTTGCAAAAAATAACTATGGCTGTCTTTAAATATTAAAACATTATTCAATTTTGCTTGTTTTCTCTGATTATGGTTTTCGCGACATGGATTGACCTTACGGATGTTGATCCTACGGAAGATATAAATATTGTTGTCTTTCACGGTATGAACATCAACCTGTTTTCCCAAAAAAAAAAAAAAGGCAAAACTCATTTTGCTTGAGGCCAAATTGACTGTGGCAGCATGCCATATCCTGGCCTTCTGGCCTCGTTGTAACATACTGTAAGCGTCAACCTGTCTATAGTTAGCAAATATGTTGTTTGTCCATAGATCAATAAATCTTTCCCAAAATACGGAAGTTGATTGTTGTATTTTTTTATTTGGGACTTTAGCTGTAACTCACTGCATGCATTTTTCTCTTGACATCTGGGTTAATTCTCTTGATCCGTTAATCTTATGTAAGCACTTAGAAGTTTTTTTAGAGCATGCTAATTGATGCTTAAAAGACAAAGTTGAAACTCTCTCTCTCTCTTACAAAAAAAACATCTACCTTCTAGTGGGAAATTCAGTGATATCTTCTTCCATAAACTTAAAAATTAAGGAAACTTTAGTTTCTGGTTTTCAGTTTATTTAACACCGTAAGTGTTAAATTTTCAATCCTATCATTACAATTCTATGATTTTATATCACAAAATTGCAAACTCCGGTCTCAATGCTGGTAGGATTGCTAATGTAGAATGTTATTTGGAGCATTAGACTCTTGCGATTTATGTGTACGTTTTAAGAAATAGAATGTTTTGATACTTGTAGTCCAGGAATAGACCTAATTCCATATTTGTGGAGCTTATCTTGAGCTCATGTTGTGTTGCGGATGGAAATTTCCATACGATTTTGTGCATCTAGTTGATAATTGAATGTTGGCAAACAAGATGAACAACATCCGTTGGCTAAATATCTTCTTACAGTGCATGGCTAATCGATTGTGGATCTTCCTGTTAGCGCACATCAGGTCTTTTGAGATCCATGTATGCCCTGGTTACCCTGGACGAAGACTGCATTTCTCCGATATGGTTACCTGTCAGCAGACAATCCTGCAGCAGTGAGAAAAGAAGTTGCAAAGCTTTGCGGGGAACTGAGACCGCAGGCACTTTCGTTGGTTGGATCCATTGGCATTCCTGATGCGTTCTTGAGCCCTATAGATCTCAATTGCATGGAGACAAACTGTTGGTCCTCTGTTCAACCCTAGCTTCTTGTATGTGATAATATTTGCATGTACTGCAAGAAAAATCGAAACATCTCCGACTCATAGTGTCTGCCAACAAGTTCACAGTCGTTATATAAGCTCTTGTAATCTAATTATTTGAATTATTCATCGTGTATTGTGTATATTATATTTGCAACATTCAGTTGACTCTGTTGTTTAACATTCGTTAATTGCCATTTTTAGTCAAAGTGTCTTTAGATATTGACATTGTCAAATTATACAACCAAATGCTGTTGTGATGCGTCCACGGGAATTTATATTCTTGTTCTTTTCTTGATTCTCTCATCAAGCTGAATTATTTTCATCAATTCAGTAGTGGGAATAATTCGATTTCCAGGCCCTCTACATTATTACAATACAATATTCATGGATGATGTATTGGTGGAGGCCACAATTTGGACGTATGGTTAGGCATTAGCATATAGTGCATTATCTTCTCTGATAACTGGAGCCCAGGCTTGGACACACTTAATAATAGTTATTGACCATTATGAGGTTGAAATTTCAATGTTGTGCAAAACTTTCCATCCCTTTTCTTTAATTTTTCATGCCCTTAGTCTGGAAGTCTCACTCATTCCTTCTTTAAGTTACCACATTGCATCCGAGACTTTTATACTATTCTAATTATTGTTATCATAAGTACTATTTTTGCTTTAACATGTGAAGTCCCAACCAAAAGCCAAGGGAAAAAACAAAAAAATGTACTGCTAGATTATAATAATTCTTTCAGTGGAGTCTAGGAAATTTCGTTTTGGAAAAAAATAAAAGATAGGTAATGGATTCAGTGCTTTGTAACTCCAGCTGTTGAATGTTGAGCATCTCTTGCTGCAAAAAATAGTCCAACTATTCAACCAAAGCATTTTACCTTCATCTGTTAAGAGTTTCACAGAAGATGCCTGAAGCTGTACTTAGTTTTGTTATTGTAATCTTGAATAAGATACTTCCACTAGCTGCCCACGAGGTCAGCCGGGTATGGGGTGTCAAGAAAGACCTTGAGAAGCTTGCTGAGGAAGTACAGATGATGGAAGCTTTGATTCTTGATGCTGAAGGCAAGCAATCAACAAGCAAAGCCGTGCAGCTTTGGCTGAAAAGGCTCCAGTCCATAGCACGTGATGCGGAGATCGTGTTAGATGACTTCGGATATGAAGTTCTGCGGCAGAAGGTTGAGAATCGGAAGCGCGACAAGGTACGCAACTTCTTTTCTTCCTCAAATCCTATTTCCTTTCGTCTAGAGATGGCTAACAAGATCAAGAATGTTAGCGCATCTCTAGAGGAAGCATACAGACGTGCAAATCAAATAGGGCTTCATCCAGTTCAACTACCCATGACATCTGCTGATCACAAAGAGGATCGGTGGACTGATCCTTTTGTGGAAGAGTCAGAAATGGTGGGAAGGGAAGTTGAGGTATCTCAAGTTGTAAGCATGTTAATTAGCTCAGACTATAAGAAGGATTTACCTGTCATCTCAATAGTTGGGATGGGTGGCCAGGGTAAAACAACCCTTGCACAGCTGGTGCTAAAAAATGACAGTGTAGTGAAACATTTTGATGAAACAATATGGGTTTGTGTGTCTGATGATTTCAAAGTGGAAAGGCTGTTGAATGAGATGCTACAATCCCTCGAGGGAAAAAGTGCTGACACAATAAACAGGGAAACATTGGTGAAGGAGCTTCAAGATAATCTGAAAGGAAAACGTTACTTGCTTGTGCTTGATGATATTTGGAACGAGAATCGACAGAAATGGGATGGCATGAGGAGACGTTTGTTGGCAATAGGGGGTGCTTCAGGAAGCAAAATATTGGTTACCACACGTAGTGATGAGGTAGCCTCAGCAATGCAAACATCTGGTTTGCATCATCTAGACATCCTCTCAGATGATCATAGCTGGATGTTGTTTGAAAAACTAGCTTTTACAGATGGTGGTGCAAGAAAGACTCAAAATCTGGTGGACATTGGCAAAAGGATACTGAAAAAGTGTGGCGGTGTGCCATTAGCTATCAAAGTGATTGGGGGTTTGTTGTATTCCAAAAAGGATGCCTCGGAATGGTTGAAGCTTGAGAAGAGTGAAATATGGAATGAGTCGGCCAATAATGAAGGTGGAGTCATTTCTGTCCTGATGCTGAGTTGCGAAAACTTACCTTCATTGTCAGTGAAACAATGCTTTGCAAGTTGTTCCATTTTCCCGAAGGACACTGACATGGAAAAACAAAGCTTGATACAGATTTGGATGGCCCAGGGATTGATTAATGATGCCAAGGGAGGTCATTTGCAAATGGAGGATGTAGGCAGTGACTATTTCAACATATTGCTTCGGAGTTCTTTGTTGCAAGCTACTTCTGAGAATTCCATTAATGGAATCAAGCGCTGCCGGATGCACGACCTTGTGCATGATCTTTCATTGCAAGTGTCAAATAATTGTTTCTTAAATACAGAGGATGGCATGGTAGTCAGTCATGATGATGAAGTCATGCATTTGACCATTATTCTGAGTCGAGGGATGGTGTTAAAGAAGATCGAAGGGATTCCTCCAAATTTACAAACGCTTCATCTTGTGGGTCGTGGTATTGTGCTCGAAGACATATTGGAAACATCTAGATATCTTTGTGTGTTAATAGTAAACTGCCGGGATGTTGCTCATCTCCCGAATGCAGTTGGTAATATGAAACATTTAAGATATCTTGATATCTGTAAAACTCGTATCATCACTCTGCCAGATTCCATCACAAAGCTCTACAATTTGATGACCTTGAAAGTAGTTTACTTGAAAGAGATACCTAAGAAGTTTAGCAATTTAATTAACTTGAGGCATTTCGAGTTTTCCGAGTTTCTTTGGGAGACCCGATGTTTGTTCCCGGGAATTGGGCAGCTGGCTAATCTTCGGACATTGCCCCACTTCGTGGTAAGCCAAGACAAGGGATGTCAACTTGAGGAGTTGGAACACTTGCGCAACCTCCGAGACAAGTTAGAAATATTTGGACTTGAGAATGTGAGCAGCTTTGAATCAGCAGCAAAAGCAAAGTTGTCCGAAAAATCAAGCATTCAAGATTTAAGACTTTCATGGGATGACAGGAAAGAAGATTGTGATGACAACAATATCAATAGTGTCATGGAAGGTCTCCAACCTCACCCAAACTTGAAAAGTTTATCCATTAACGGTTTCAAAGGTTCAAGGTTTCCGTCGTGGATGGTGGCAAAGGATCATTTGATACTTCGGAATCTGGTACGCCTCAGGTTGGAGAAATTGGGCAAGTGTGAACAAGTACCACCACTAGGGAACTTGCCTTGTCTCGAGTCCTTAGTGATGTTCTCCTTACACAATGTGAAGCGCATTGGGGCTGAATTCTATGGTCTTGAACATCTTGATATTAATGCAAGGAGCAGCAGTTGTAGTAGCAGTAGCAGAGCGGTGAAACCAATCACTCTGTTTCCGAAACTATGGCGTTTTGAGTTGGAGGGCATGGGAAGTCTGGAGGAGTGGTCAGATGCAATGGTTCCCTCGGATTCTTCTTCATCAATTAAGGTATTCCCTAATCTCCGGGACTTGAGAATCAATAAGCTCCCCAAGTTGGCAGTTTTACCGGATATGGAGAACTTGACATCTCTTAAATCCTTACACTTAGGGGATTGCGGAAGTTTGTCTTGTATAAGGAATTTGAATAGCCTTACATCTCTTGAATCCTTAATCGTAGAAGACTGCCCTACTTTAGATGTTTCTCTGGACATGAAAAACCCCCAATCCCTACGTACTCTAACCATCTTAGGATGTGATAACTTGAATCCTTCATTGAGTAATAATCTTGAGAAGTTCACATCGCTTGAGCGGTTGTGGATCCGTTCTCATGACCCTGGTTGTTGGGCAAAGGGTCTACACCATCTAGCCAACCTCCGCGAGTTGGAACTCCATGGCTTCTCTGATGAACTTGATCATTTCCCGTGGCCAGACTCCATCACCAACGTTGCCAGCGGTGCCAAGAACGATGCTGATTCTGCAACACAACATCTCGTCTCTCTGGAGCGTCTTGAATTGTCTGGATGGCCAAAAATCTCGTCTCTCCCAGATCAAATTCAGCATCTCTCTACCTTGAGAACCTTAAAGATACGGGAGTTTGAGGGGTTGGAAGTTCTTCCAGAGTGGATAGGTAGCCTTCGGAATCTTCGAGGATTGTGGATTGCTAACTGCTCTAACCTCAGACAATTACCCTCTGCAGAAGCAATACGACACCTCACCAATTTAAATCGACTAGTTATCCACTACTGTCCTCTTTTAGCAGAGAGATGCACCAAAAGAAGTGGCGCAGAGTGGCCCAAAATTGCACATATTCCCGATATTGGTATCTATCCGTTCAACAAAGTTTGACTCGTTTCGCGTTAGGGAAACAAACCCCTCCCTCCAACCTGTAAGTCGTTAATATTTCCAATGTTTTAATCTACTTATTCGGTTTGTTTATAATTCTGCTACTCTTTTTTTCGTCTGGGGAAGGAACAAGGAAATAAAAAACACTACTGCTTCCTTAAAAATGCTACTGTATTACTGCCAAATCCTGACTCTTCCTTCAATTGCTCTTTACATTTTGCTTTCCATACATTCTTTCCTCCTCCTTATCATTCATTCTTTTTTTTTAATGGTCAGAATCAAGGCAATTTATTCATCGTCTTCCACGTTGTGAAAAGAAAATGCTCATCCATCACAAAAAAGAGGAGCAGTTTCCTCAAGCTGCCTTATAGATGCCAGATGTCTGCTGATTGTCTGATTTATTCTTGGATTTACCTGCTCTCTCCTTTGAGGTGCATTTCTGTTTCAAGCTGTAACTTATGAAGATGGACACAGAATCAGAAAAATGAAGATAGATTAAAGTAGTGATAGACTTTTTCTTTTTTTCAAATGAAAAGATTCATTACATTCTCTCTCTCTCTCTCTCTCTCTCTCTCTATATATATATATATATATATCTGTTTTTTTTGTGGGTGAAAACTGCTATTGAATTGCTAGAATAGACATGCGCATGTATTTTAAAAGAAAAATTACAAATGACTAGGAACTGAATAAAAATTTTCTTTTCAAAGTATCCAAGTATAGGTATTTCCCTTGAGCCAAAGGTGGTCTTGCCAGCGTTGAACTGCATTTCATCCTAAACAACTTATCTACTTGACCCTTTGTCAGTCATGATGGATTTCAGGGATTCTTTATATGAGAAGTTGGAAACCTTGTACAAAAGTAACAAAACATGAGTTTATTATTTTCTGCAAAGCTTAACGGTTTAACCGTTGATGCATTGCTAACTAAACCAAATAAAGTAAATATCAATCTGATTACAGTCGCTAGTATATGCAATTTTTCTGTCAGTGGAAATGGCAGACTTTTCTGTCTAAGTGCTTCACAACATACTTTTCTTCAGAAATGAGTTGAGAAAAGAAAGTTCAGAGTCATATGAAGCAGAAGCAAAAGCAATCAATGAAGCAACTCATTAAAGAGGTAACGTTTCATCTTAAAATGTGGGTTTTAACTACAGATGTTCCTGAAGCATACCAAAATAATCATTAATTTTCAAAAAATGCAATGTTAAGGTCCCAGATCTGGCTCATTGATCCTTGAGATAGCTGAGTTTGTCCATGCAAACAAACAATTTGAAATCCCTTGACTTAATTAGAAGGTCTGACTCAAAAAATGATGATTCGTTGTCTCTCTGGTTGTTTTAGCTGTTCTCACATCTAGCTTGAAAGCCTAAACTTTTTTCTGCATGTTGTATGCCAGCCCAACGCATGCAAAAGAAAATCACTACATGGTCTGCATTACTCTTAATGTGCTTGCCGTTTTCAGCAACCAAACCATAGTCAGTACGTCTCACATAACCTTTGAAGTAAAGGTGGCAGACTAGCACGGTTTTAGTTCCTTGGTTAAAAGTCTAGTCGATTTTCATCATTCTATAACTTAAAGCAGTAATTCTGCTTTTCACATGGATAACCATATGAAACAAAATGCAAAACCTACATACTATCCAATTATAGATGCTTATATCTTCAATTAGTTTCATGGATGAGCTATCTAATCATTTGAGCAAGAGATACTAAAAATGAAGCAAACTTTCTTCAAAGGATTGATGCTTGTATATTTCCATTAGTTTGAATCAGCAGTTTCTGCTGGAGGTGTAATACACTATATATAAGAGGAAGTGGTCACACAATATTTCACTTTTTAATTTGGATATGTTGTTCTAATACTCACATTCTTGGTTTTTGTCAACTTTGACTCCAATCTTTAACATTGCGTCCTTTTTAAATATCACCCAAGTGACATGCTTAGGTCTGCAATTGTCTTGAATCCAATCCCAAACTGAGATCAGGTCTACTCGAATTTGCCAAACTCGAAGAGGTCAAGTTTGAGCTTGACTTGTCACATTTTTGAGCAACTCAAGTTTGGCTTGAATTAGCTCAACAGGATAGTGAAGCTCGATGTTTAGGAAAGGAGTAAATGTGGCTTAATTTCATGAGCTTATCATCAAAGACTCAATTCATTAAGCTGTTTAAGCAGCTTGAGCTTTCTCACCAATAGTAAAGTCGAGCTGGGAAGGGCTCATGAGTTGATTGGTTTTTCTGCAGTCCTAGTCATACAGGGTAGTTGAGCTGGGGTACTAGATATTGCCTAATGGTCGTTCTTCCTTCCGTAAGATTTTTCCTTCTGTTATACTGTTGCCAGCACACAAGTTCAACTTCAAACTCACTTGTCAAATGTTGCTTACAAAAGGCAATTTGTAATTGGATAAACGCAATACATACTCTGCTTCTAAGGGTGTGGTGGCATCATCAGTCATCAGACTTCAATCTTCTGAGATGGGATCTATATTGCAAACTGTTCAATTGTTTATGGCGAGTTGCTTTGCCAGTTGATAGAAAGTAGAAACTTAGCCAGTTTTGCCATTGAACGAGGTATGAAGAATGTATACACTACTTTGACGGGGCGGATGTTCATCTCTTTGGAATCAGCTATATCTACCTACTAGATAAGAGAACAACTCAAGTTCTCCCTTGAATGCCAAGTGTCAATATATTGTTAGAGGAAGGAGTTAGGAAGGAGTTTGTTTTCTGATTTTTGGGATTTAAAGAGTGAGAAATGCCTATTTGAGCCTTGGTCTTGAAATTAAAGGTCTTAATAGTTCCTTACTATTTAGGGGCTAATTGGTAACAATGGTTTAATTATTTTTATTTGTTCATTTTGTTTTGTTTTTAATTGGTTTGAAAGGTCAATTGAATCCTTTTATGAAAACTACCTCATTAAATAGTTTCTAACTATTTAGGGTTATTTTTGTATATTTGAAAATATATCTTTTATAATTTTCTGGTCAGATGTAAATAATTGTAGACTATTTGGACCTTTTTATCACATGGGTTGTTTTGAATTACATTATATAATTATTTTCATTTGTTCCTTCTGATTGGTTTTTAATTGATTTGAAAGGTCAATTAAATATTTTTATCAAAACTACCTCATTAAATAGTTGCTAACTATTTAGTGTTATTTTTGTATATTTGAAAATATCTCTTTTATAATTTTCTGGTCAAATGCAAATAATTGTAGACTATTAGTGGGTTTTTTTATCACATGGGTTGTTTTGAATTACATTATGAGTTGTTTTGAATTACATTATATAATTATTTTTATTTGTTCCTTTCGATTGGTTTGAAAGGTCAATTGAATCTTTTTATGAAAACTAGCTCATTAAATAGTTGCTAACTATTTAGTGTTATTTTTGTATATTTGAAAATATCTCTTTGATAATTTTCTGGTCAAATGCAATAATTGTAGACTATTTGTGGATTTTTTTATCACATGGGCTGTTTTGAATTACATTATATTATTAATTATATAATTATACAAATTAATGCAGTCATACCCGTTAGAAGTAATGTTCCTGCCTGTTAGCATGATTAGTATGACTGATGACTTATGATGTAAGTTAGTCAACAGTAGCTTAATGGTCTTATTAGTCATCGAGCTTCCTTCTTCTTCATTTACCAGAATTTCCTTCCCCCTTTTGCCCTTTCCCTTTTTTCCCGTCGAATAGCCTCTTTCTTTCTCTCAAATAGCCGCTTTCTTCCCGTCGAATCAGCCTGCAAAATTTTCAGTTTTCTACCAATTCCTTCAACAACCAATTGTCCTTCCTTTTGATTGCAACCCACAAAATCCTCCACACGCACGTGAATTTTTGTCCTGCCCCAAAAATTAGGTCAGTAAAATTTTTTCCCCCCAAATCTAGAAGCCTGCAAAATCTTCAATTTTCTGTCAATTCCTCGAGCAACTAATTGTACTTCCACCAACTAATTGTACTTCCTTTCGATTACCTCTCAAAAAATCATCCACATTCGCGTGAATTCTTCTTTTTCCCCAAAAAACAGCTCACTCAAATCTCTTTTTCCCCAAAATCAGCTCATTTTAGGGATAGCTGTTCTACCGCCTTATCATCTATGCTATAGCTTTCAGAACTTACTATTTCCAGCTCTATATATACCTCTGTTTCCCAGTTTTGCCGGTATTCAGCAGACGAGCGAAGAAAATCTAGGTAATTCATATTCTCTTTCCTTCTATTTCGAGCTGCAATTTTTTAGTTTTAGTTTGATGACTGAGCTGCAAATTTTAGTTTGAGCAACTAATTTTAGTTTCTGTCAATTTTTCAGTCAGCATATTAAGTTGCAATTTTTTAGTTTGATGAATGTTCTTACCTTCTGTTTATTTATTATTTATATTTATTGCCATGTTCTTACCTTCCGTTAATTAAAGACTGCCATGTGTTTGATATTATAAATAAAAGAATAATTATGATGCTATTTTTTCGATTAGCTTACGTTTACTTTTTTTCTCTGTTTTTATATTATTTTCAAATGCTACCGGACTTTTGCCAACATTCAGGCGAGCAAAGAAAATATAGGTATGTTTCTATTTTATCACCTTCTATTTTGAACTGCAAGTTTTTTTTTCACTGTTGTTGCCTCTGTTTATTGCTTTCTCTTAATTAAGAAATGCGATGTGTTTGATGTTATGCTATGATAGTTTACTTTTCCCTCTGTTTTTTATTTCAAATGTTGCATGATGCTGTTAGCTGCTTATCTATTCAATAATTACATCATTTAGTATCATTGTCCTTTGGCTTATTAAGGTTGTCATTTTATATATATTACTTAGTTTTAGCTATTCTAGGATGCTTTGATTCTGTCATTTTGTGTGCCTTTGGATTAGCATTTTGCTTTGTTTATAGTAAAATTAGATTTTGATTTTTTGTGTTTCAAAATGAAAAAAAAAAAGAAAATTTAGTACAGGTTTTAGATTGATAGATGAAATGTTTGATGATTCCCCTGATCTAAGAATGTTGGAAAGAAACAAAAAGACAAACTTAAATATGCTGACTTAAATAAGCTTCAATTGTTCACACCAAGCACAAAGTTGGTACTTGAAGAAATTGCTGGAGCCAGTTCTTACAAAGACAGCCAGACATCTGCAACCAGTGGAGCAAAACGAAGCCTTGAGTTTCCAGAAGATTTACCAGCAGACACACATGCTAAACATCCAACAAAGGCTCCTGAAGAGTTTGCCAAAGAACCTGCAAAACTGTATGGTCCACCTGCAAATATCAAAGACAGTCCAACCAAGAAAGCTAAAGCAAAGGAAGACTAATATGGCCTATTTCTGTACTTTTGTTAAATCTTTTGTTCATTGCCTTTCCTCGATTGCTTAGACAATATCTTTTGAATTATATTATGATCCATTATTCTTTTGACTTAAAAAGTAATGGATCGTAATATACTTAGTAATAGTTTAACCATCAATGCTGTACTTCATTAGGCAATGAAGCTTATTTAAGCCTC